CGTCAGAGAAGCTGTAGAACAGTGGCACTACAGAGCAGCTGAAGCAGGAAGGCTAAGGGATTTGTGGAACGAGAAAGGTCCCGGTGAGTGTTTGGCCACTAACTCCCTGCCTACGCCTCTCTCGAGCTCGTGCCGAGGCCGGGCGCTGGCGCGGGCCGACRTTGCACGTGGGGAGAGCGCGGCAGGGCCGGCGCTGCAGCTGCAGCTGCACTGCCACCCAGGGCAGCTCCACAGCTCCCGAGCCAGAGCTGCCCCTAGAGGTACGTACTGATCCCAGGCATCTTGTGGAGAACCACTCAGTTTCCTGGAGGAACCTACGCCTTTTCAGGAACTAGTTAAGCATCCTGCAAGGCTGCTCAAAGAAATACTTTGAGTCATTTTTCGAGTCAGGAGCAGGGCGTATAGCTGCTTAAACTATCRGAGGGAGAAAGATGACCCAGACAGAAACCATTAGAGATGGAAGGGGATGTTTCACAGGCATGTTGTGTAGTGATTATGTTGCTTGCTTGCCTTTATCCCCCTATTTAACCTTAAGATAACTTCTCTAGTAGGCCTGCTGCTGGCACATTCATTACTGGTGAGCTCACTTGTTGCTCCCCACGGCATAAGAACATGCAGAGCAATCGCAGACTGGAGTCCTGAACTCCTGCCCTGCGCAGCTGAGCAGTGAGGCACGCGGTGCCATCTCTTCAGCTGTGCAGCCGTGGCTGCGGGCACACAGGCCATACTGGATGTGCACAACAGCCCCTGCACTTGTGCAGGCAGCTAGAGAGTCCTCAAGTCATGATTATTGTATGAACTGCCCATCTTGGCCAAAAATAGCTTCTGTTCCATATTAATCTCCATTTTGAACGTTCATATTCATGATGACGTTTCTTGACTAAAAATGCAGTTCAAGTTCTATATTTTCACCCTAGTTTTTGTTGTGTCTTTGCCAACAGCGGTGTAACGTGAGTGATGGACGTGGGCAATTCTGCAAATCTCAAACGGAATAGTGTGCCTGTGCCTGGGCAAAACCAATGTGAAAATGAGACTGTCCTGGGGAAAATGTGCCCTTAGGTGGCAGTGATGGGCTGGAAAGCTTTATTTGCTGGCTTGTATAGAGGAAAGCAATAAAAGAGGAGCAGGTTGCTTTTTCTTTTTCCATTCCCAGGAGATCAGGAACTGAACTAATTTTTCCATTATTCATATAAATATGCTTGATCAACCTTTCCAAGTTCAGTCACAAAAGTCAAAATAAAATTTCATTAAAATGTCAAATATGAAAGCTGTTACATCCAAATAATTGCTTTATTTGCTTAATGACTAGATGGGGATTGGGGAACTGAGCTGTGTAGAACTGAATTATAAATCAGGCCTGTATATGAGACCAAAAATAAATCTACACAAATGATTCCTTGGAAGTAAAGCAAAGTTAGCCTGTGTTCTTAGTTTTAGCCCTGTGTGCCTAGTTAYGGAGGGCAGGAAGAGGCTTCAGTTAGAGYTGGGGTCCTCACTGCATCTGGTCAGTGCATCTTGGCTGACTGCAGCTTCCCACCCTGTTCCCAGGCTCAGGAAAGTGGAAGCACAGCTGGTACCAGCATCTGTGTTCATGCTGCAGACTGTAGGAACTGCCATGCTCTGCTTATAATAATCTTAAATTATATTTAATTCATTTACAATTCTGATCTGTGTAATATTTTGTTCTACAGATGCCTAAATTCAAAGATATGTGCAAAAGGAATTCTTTTTTTTTCCTTTTTGCTTCTGTTGCTGTTGAATTTTTCTTTTTTTTAGTCTTTTATCTCATTTTCTTTCTTTAGCAGTTATTTATCTTGTACCTTATGCACAGCCAACAAGTTTTAAATGCTGCTTTGGGAAACAACTTGCCAATTGGGTACTCTTTTGTTTTGTTGAGGTTTTCTCAGGTTTAACATGCGAACATAAGCACTTCTGTTGCTCATGGTTGTTGTCTTTGCATTAAGCAGTGGTGAAGATGTTGTGAAGGACTAAGAGTTTGAAGTTCAGCGAAGCTCTGCTTTTGTGCTAGCCGGCTGGCTCCTCCTTTCCTTCGACTCTGCAAGAGCCTTCCTAGCTCTCTTCCTCCGTAGCTTGTGGCAGGTTATTCACTCAGATTTCTCTTTTGGTGTGTACAGTGTTTTGGGTTTGTTTTAATTTTTCTTCTTCCTCCAGTATTCTGGTTCCGTCAGGTCTGCAGCTGGTAAAACAGACAAGATGGGTTTATTTTTGTCCCAGTATTTGTAAATCAGCAGCATCCTCTAAAGAACTCCGCATGTGAATGGTTGGTCTTCAGCTCCATGTAAATACATTTCCTTCTCTGAACACGCTCTGGAATGAAGGAAGACTGCTTACATGGGGGACCTGTATCTGGTTTTTACCAAGAGAATATCTGTCAAGAAATGAATAGCTTCTGTATTTCTTAATTCTTTGGCAGCTGTCTTATGCAGATAGGAGGTTCTTCATGCTGTTTATTTTGGGGAAAGACTGATAATACTGCCAGCAGCTAAACTCTCAATGAATTGGTCAATGAATCTCTGCACACATGAAGTATCAGTCTAAAGCTGGATATAAGAAGTTTCTTCTCATTGCAACCAAGTTACTCTCATTAGATTCAAAGGAGCTGGGGATTTTTTTTTCTTGTTGTTGTTTTGGTGGGGAAGAATTAAAATGGGTATATAGGAATTTAAGAAGTTGAATACAAATCTGCAAATATAGAAGATAATCATCTGAGATCTAATTTAATATCTACTCTTTCTGTGACTTTCCTGAAGTCATCATACTTGCCAGCGCACTTCCCCAAGGAAGAACTTCAGTTCTTGTTCTGCTCCTTTTTATACAGTTGCCTCTACCACGGATTCTTCAATAATCTTCTTAAGAACGGATTCCCAAACTGCTTGGGAAAACTGATACTGTTCTCTTGGTTACAATCCATTAATGACATCAGGCAGCTGTGTTCTTTTCTTAGCTGTCTTGCAAATACCACAGTTATGGTCATAATCCTTAAAGTATAATAGTTTATTTGAACTGGGAAAAATAAGAAATTTCCCCTGGAAAACTTGCAGCTACATTCAGTGAACTATGATATTTGATATGAGAACTCCAAGTATCAGCTGCTTAGCTTAAATGAAGCCTTTTAGACTACTGGGAATAGTTAGCATGGACTTGCAGTTTTGAAAATGTTGAAGCGAAGACCTAGGAAAATATCCTACATACCTCACCTTGAAAATTATCTAAAAATAAGCTGTTCTGTGCTATTTTGAAGAACACAAAGACAATTGCAAGCAGTGGTACCAGGTAAGTGATGACCTAACTGTGATGTACTTTGGGGTACTGTCAGCAAATCACAGAAGATTAGGAATACTTCAAAGTGGAAAGAAGATAATTAATGCTATTTAAAATAAATTTCAGTATGGCTGCCTCTGGACTTCAATGGATTAATCCAGATCTATCACATATTTCACATATAACAACTTTCTGCAGTTAGAAGTTATCCCTTGATTAGTTTCTTGCACATCTGGAATCACAGATTAAATTCCTACACTTCAAGGAGAATTTCTTTTTTATGTTGAGTCGCAGATSATACCTATATTAAATAAAGATTACATTTGTTCCCCATAAAATAATTGTATAAAGCTAAGCCTTGAAATAAAAGCAATTAACTAGTGTCTGCTCTAAGAAAATGAACACTGAAACATGTCCTAATAACATTAGGAGTCAAGTGAAATTTATAAGTTGTGGCAGCTCTTGCAAAAGGCTAACCTGGTTATTACGTATCTGGTTGTTGTCGGGTGAATTTGCTCTTATTTTCTGTAGACTGAGAATCAGTGTAGGGATCCCAAAGACAAAATATTCTTCTTTCTTGCACGAGCATAAATACCGGTGAGAAGAATGTGTAAGAATTGCATTTTGACGTTGTAAGCTTTGCACATAGTTGCATTTTCTCTTTTGTAAAGCACCAAGAATTACTTCATGCCAAGACAGAAATCCCAGGTTCCAGCTGTAGGTGGAATTTCTGCCCTATTCATTGGTCGGCTGTATGGACATTCATCTTTCCTGGACCCAGGAAGAACAGCGMTCTGCTGGATACAGAATGGTCAGAGCTTCAGGGACTTGGCTACAGAAGTAAGCGGTGTAATACAGTAGAATGCCATCTGTGCAATTTATACTAAAAACAATGTTTGAACATAATTTTATTTTAAACTGCATACAGGAGTAATCCCCATCCAGCTGTTTTCAGTCTTCTTTATTGTTAGGAAGAAAAAGAGGTGCTTTTCAAATTGACTGCCTTGGGCTGAACATACCTGCACTTGTCCAAGTAGCCCTTTATGGCCGGAAGAGGTATTTGTAGGAGGAAATATTAATTAAAAAGGCAGCCCAAAGGGCTCCCCACAAGGCTGCTGCGTCGCATTGCGAGAGCTGTTGTGTCAAGGCAGTCCTGGCCTTAGCTCGGCTGCGTGGGGCCGCAAGGCCAGGACTCGCCTTYGCCGCAGCGGGAGGCTGCACTGCCGGTGCCGTCCTGCACAGGATGATTTGGGACCTGCCTCCGTCTGTCTCCCACAAGCCGCTGTGCAAAGACACTCGTAATCTGCATTGTAAGCGGCAGCAAGCAGAGAAGTCAGYATCTCCCTTTCTCTCTTCAAATGACACATTCCCCAAACTCAAGCTTTTTGGCGTGTCTCAGCGGGTGTCACAACTGCAGCCTTTTTGATGGAAGGCTTTTCTGTCTACCGCAGTACAGCTGGGCGCTGCACCGTGTTAGTCAGTTTGGTTCTTAAAATTTCCAGCTTCTACTTACAGGAAAGTTGCTGCAATTGAAATAGGCTATCTGTCATAAACTAATGTATATAGAAAATGTCAAGTGATGCGGTTCATACTTTCCATTTCAGTGGAGACAGTGACTCCTTTTGGAGACGTACTGAGCAGCCATTGACTGACACCACTGACTACAAACGAAGAAACGTAGCAATGCTTGATCCTACCCTGCTGATGCAGGCCTGGCTAGAGAGGAAGTTTGGAAAGGTCCGTTCAGTATCTGCCTGTTTATGGATTTAGTGGGCTTGAAGACATTAACTCCAGTAAAGTTAACTCCAGTAAAACAAATGCATATTCATATTGGTATGGTTTATTAGCCTTTACAGTTATATCTCTATGAAACATTAAAATGGGTTTGTGACTGATAAGTGCTTTTAGTTTTATTATCTCCTACAGTAGCTGACTTACAATTCCAGTTTTTGTTTCTCCCTTTTATCAACTCCCATTACGAAAATATTGATTCTCTTATGTCTCATTGAAACAAGAACCTGAGTCATAAAATAGTAATAGATCTGTGGCCCTTATCTTGTGAGTTTTACCTAGGATAAGCTTAGCTCAGTGTCATGCAAATTTTGTTCTACAGAAGGCTGAATTACTGCTGAAGTAAGTACATCTGGGTCTGCAAGTACCTAAATTATTGAAGGCAGTTGCTGAGTCACCTCTGCTTTCCCTCGTGTGGACGCAGGGATTGAGAGGAGGTTGGAGTAGCTCCTTGTGGGGCCCTGCCGTGCTCGGGCAGCCGCCGTGACCGGCTCAGGCGCCCCAGCCCAGCGGGGCCGGTTCCCGCAGCGGGGCCGAGCCGGGCGCAGCGGCCTGCGGGGCACCAAACCTTGGCGGAAACAGCACGGAGACAAGGCCCTTATCTCAATCCTCACACGTTTATCTAGATTTTAGATTTATTTATTCAGCATCCGTCACAACTTTATCTGTGAGTCTTACAAGCAAGTGAATTAACTTCATCCTTTCCTTGTGCTGTTTTATGATCACTTTTTTTTGTACTGCGATGCAAAATAGTAAAAGAAATTTTTAAAAATGAAGTATTCATCATAGAAGATGCTAGTGGAATTAGAGTTGTGTGTGTGCCTCCCTTCTGCATGACCTCAGAGAAATGTAATGTCTTGGCTGTTTGTTTCTTGCCAAAGAACGCTCTCAAAGTTAAAATGTTTAATGTAAACAATTCTTTTTTTCATGGAAGTTTCCTGGTTCAGACTGGAACTGTCAAGTTGTTGCCAAATAGAGAGAGAGAAATGGAAAGAAATAGAATTGATTTTAAAAAAGACATTTTGAACCTAACACCATTCTCGGAGAAAGGGCCAGAGGTTCCAGGTTGTTTATTTCCTGGTGGAGCAGAAACAAGTGTTTGCCCTGCCCAAAGCAGCTGGGGGATGAAATGGTTGCCCTTCCAAAATATCCTTCCAGAATATGAATCTCACAAAATTAAGGGTTGTGTAAATATGGTTACCATTTAAAAAAACAACCAAACACAGTAACACGCATGAGTCAAGAATGTTTGATCTAATTACAACAAAAATTTGTTTTGGGATAGAAATGTAATAGTGGGATAGAAATGTAATAGTAGAGAGTGTGATTATGAATTAATAACTCTAGATATTGATATATTTTAGAAATCACAAGGGATTCAGCAATTATTTCCTGTCATTTAGTTAGATTGGCTAATCAAAATGTAAGGTAAACGTGTAGATGGAATGTTGAGCAACTTGTTTTTAAAAGGTCTAATAATCATAAATCTACATTAGTGCCTAGAATTAATGAGGAAACTGAAGCACATGGCTAGAATTTCATCTATATCTTGATTGAATATCAAGGTTACTTGAATAAAATAAGGTCCGAACAGTTTTCTACCTGGATAAGAAAACGGGGAGAACCTGAAGTTAAACTATCATAGATACGGTCACAAATGTGATTTATGGCATACACAGAAAGAAAAATATATTTTTTTTTTTATTTGCAGGTAATACTAAACTATGCTATCTGACTAGTGCTGAAATTGTTAGCTGTGGGACTGGCAAAACCACTCCTAGTGTGAGATGTGTGACAGGTCTGACTGCACTCTGGTGCTGCTCGGCATCCTGAGACAAGGCACAGAGCACCCACGAGGTGCTGTGGTCCCCCTTGCTCAGCTCTATGGGCTGCAGCCCCCAGCTCACCATATGGGGGACATTCTGGTGCAGAAGACTGTTGAGGCCAGACCCTGAGCCTTGAGCATCTCTGATGAGTTTATGACATGGACAAGCACTTTATTACATGGACAAGCAATTTTGTCCTGCCAAATAGTCCATCTCTAGCCTGTCTAGAACAGGCGCTGGTTAGCACGTGTAGGAGATGCTGAACAAAATGTGATTACTACTGGGACAGTCTCTTTAGGTAATCAGATGTTCTCCTCAACTATTACAAGCAGATTTTTCTAACAACACAGAATATTTAAATGGTTTGGAACTTCCTTGAAGAGAATCGTGTTAAAAAAAAAAAATACTGAATTGTGTGAACTTAGTGGATCAGTAAAATAGCTTCATATTTTGTTGAATGTCTGCCAATGGAAAGTCCTGTTAATTTGTGGAGTTACTGATGTGTCTAGGCTGTCAGCGTGCAGCACTGTGTGCAGCCAGAACGGAGCTGAGGACTGTGCTGGGCAGTCCTGTGCCATCCTTCGCCGTGCAGCGCGTGACGGGTGCTGCAGGAGTCACACTCGTCAGCTTGCTTTTCTCTTTGTAGGTAACTCGGCAAGCAGAGCGGGACCTGTTGGTTCAGTATTGCGTGTTTCATGTGAACCAGCACTGATGTCATCAGTGAGATCRTTTCAGAGCTTGCATTTGCTGTGAGTTTTGAGATTGCATTGCCTGGTGAAGTTTTTGTTTATTTGTTGCTTCTTTTATTATCTGCTATTATTAATGATTATTATAGACTTTCTGAAATACATGGCAATACAGAAAAGCAGAGCAGCAATTTTTCTAACAGAGGCAGTAGATCTGCCTCTCTGGAATGGCACTGGTGCCCCTGTTGCTTGAGCAGATCCTCCTGTTAGGSTTTCTTGCTCACTGCAGTCTTAATTCCAGAAGAGCTCTACCTGGGTATCAGCGGTAGATGTTGCCTTTGCTCTGTTGAGCAGTATGCTTTTTCTGGAATGTGCTCATCATTTCTCTRTTCCAGTGACCCCCATAAAGTCTGTGACCATTGACCTTTTTGCAAGTATGCGTTTTCGAGACCTAAAACTTCTTTCTGCCTCGGTGTAGTTCCTGGTTATTATTCAGCACTGTGTTGCACTGCAATGCACAGGTTTTGCTCTGCACTTTGAAGCCTGGGTCCTTGTAACAGATCTAGTAACAAGCTGAATCATGTGGAGATGTGGAGTTGCAAGTTAGCATGGCAGTGATGCTGAGTCACAGTGAGGCATCAAGAAAGGTTTCTCAGAGTATTTGCCAGACTTACATGTCAAATAACACTCCTGTGCCTCTCTTCTTTTACTCTCATCAATAAATAAATTGGCAGCTTACTAAACAGTTAATAAACTAGATTTGTGGCCCTGCAGTCTGAATCTTCACTGGGAACTTTGTGCTTGTCTGAAGGTCCATAARCTGTGATGGGATAAAAGCCAGTCTATTAAATTGGATTCTGCACATCAAGAGAAAAAGAGGCTTAAACCTTCACAGGCTGTGTCATCTGAAGAGAGATGGAATAGTAAATCTAAATTAACAATTGAAAGAGAGCTGTGATTCAGTATAGAGGCCAGGAAAGCTGAGACGGGTTGTCTCAGTGAAGGAAATTCAAATGAAGGAAATTGAAAATTAGGCAAAGCAAAATCTGCTTTAAGAAAGAATTAATTGTTTCTGTAGAAGACTTTCCTAGGTTCTGATCTATGTTACTAAGCAGATGAACAGAAGTTTTTAGAAACATTTTTCCACTCCTGAAATACAAAGCAGAAAAATCACTACAATGTGATAGTGCCAAATTCTCCTTGGGGATTCGTGCCATCTTCCTACATGTGACTAAGTAAGATCATTATATTAAAAGCATTCATTTGATCTTTCTGAATTCCCTTTTTCTCTGTGTGTGTTTAATTTTGAGTGTGTAGATAGAAGGAAAATGTTTAATAATTGGTAAGCTTTAGCAAGCTTCTACAATTGTCTAACATCTAATATGCAGAAGCTTTTTCTTTGATTTTTCTCAGTTTGTCAAGCAAGGCAATAAAAAAGAAAGAGCTTTTCTAAGCCAGTCTGTGTTATGAATTGCCACCTGATTGTCCAGATCTGCTTTGCCTGTGAAAGCAGGCTCCTGGCTTTTTTGAAGTCTCGAGAGGGGGTCAAGGTAAGTGTGCCTCAAGGGGCCGCCTCTACAGCAGCACCACTGACAGTTACTCTGTGCGAGCATTTGCAGAGGCGATTACGATCCCTATAAGATAGGCAGGATTTGTATGAGTGAAATGGAAGATGGGAGAGAATTGGTAGGAACAATTTTCCTAAATTACTGAKGATACGTTTGAGATCTATTTCATTGCATTTTTTTGGTTAGACACAAATGTTCTTTGCCTGCATTTCACAGTATTGAAGGCTGTGCAGCCCCTGGAGTAGCTCAGCGTACTGCTGTGGTAGCTTGGTGGAGGACAGAAGGAAAGAGAAGCAGTGCTCAGGTGGGTGGCTCCGGGATGCACACGGGTCCTGGGCCTGGGAAGAGCAAAAGCCCTGAGCTCTGTGGAGACTAAACGGAGCGTGACCACTGTTGCAGCCACCGGCAGCAGCGATGCAGCTCTTGGCCCCGGTATTCTGTGTGCCACAGCAGCTGTGTGCACCCGAGCCAATCCTGAGTTATTTTTTAATTTCTTCGGTTGTTTTTTCAAGTGAACCTACTTTTATAGCAAATGACTGTAGGAATAAGTAGAAGTATTTGTTGGATCTAAAATGTGTGATTTTCAGAGTACCACAAGAAAATTATGGTTCCTAGTACCCCAAGAAATTAAAAATATGCATTTTATAGGTTAATCTGTAAATCCAAGCCTAAACTGGATTTTGCTCTTAGAAAATTGGATGCATCTCTAAGTGTATTATTCATGCAAGATGCAAAAAAATGAAGATACAGATTTTATTCCACATTCAAGGCCAAATCACRTCTGCTTTCCACAGACATGTACTCCTGTTTCCTCCAAGTAACTGTCCCAATTGGTGTTTTTAGAATTGCAAAATTCTCATCTCTAAAACAGAGCATTTCCTGAGACAGCTATATATAGCAGGGATGATGGTGCTGGCAGTGGTAATCTCATCATGAACTTGTCCTYTGGCAGATAAACTGGGGAGGATCCTTCAGCATTGCCTGCACGGTAACAGAAATATCCACATTGCTCTGCTCTTTGTGATTTAAATTAGATCCGTTTAAATTAGATTATTTGGGAGTTTGTGAAGTATTTCTGCATCCCTTTTTGCCATTTTGACAAAACATCTGTTATTCCCCTAACTCTGCTACGTTATTAACCCAGTTGTAAAGGGAACTGACTCAAAGCAGTGATAGTAGGCAGTACTGAAGGACTGAAGAGCAGCCCAGATCTGAATCCAGTTCTGAGAACTTCTCAGCTTGTGAATATTCCTGGCCAGCTACCAATGTTCAGATTCCGTGAAGTGTGAATTTTGCCTCTGCTTGACCCTTCCGGCAGCTCYTGGAGACAGGCAGTAGTGCAGGTTGGAAGTCTTCCCAGCAGGGCCACATGGGAACTGCAGACTACAGCAGCACTATAGTGGGTGGCCCCAGCACCTTTCTCCAGCCGCAGGATGCGGGGAGCGCCAGGGTGGCCCTGGTTCTGGGATGCAGGGAGCTCCCAGGTGGCCCTGGCACCTCATCCTGGTCCTGGGGCACAGGGAGCTCCGCGAGGCTCTCCTGGAGTTGCACACAGCTGAGCTTCATCTTGGCTTTAGGAAGCTGTGTTTTCTTTGTGCCACAGAAAGAAAGAAAAAAAACAGCATTAAGAGTTTAAGAAGGGAGAGCAATAGATGTAAGGACTTTCTAAAATTCTCCTGAATATACTGTGTGACTCACCAAAGAGTCTGCTTCATATGTAGGTAATATGTTGCATGCAGCTACGATAGGCCTACCAGTCCGTTACAGAATGTCACTAAATGAAGTGAACCTATTCTAGCAGTAGCTTAAAATTTGAAAGGAAAACCTAATAGTGGTGGTTTTTAAAATATTTTCATGTCTGCATGTATTCCCAAGATGACTGTTGTGTTCTCACCATAACATTTATTAACCTAATAATTACTACTTGAAAATGACCTTGAAAGACTTTTTATGTTTCTCAAGAATAATATTAGATCTGTGAAGAACTTCCAGGAATTCCATTTCACTTAGAAATATTTCCCAAGTGGGTATGTGTCATAAAAACTCTTTAAGTATGAGGAAAATCTTTATATTTAGATTATATTAATCATTTATCTCTTCTCTTCTTTTAAGCTTTCATGAGGTCAAATGAACATAAAAGAAGTTCTTTCATTTATATACATAAGAGAAGAGGAGAAACAGACTGGTGTAAGACAAAAATAATGCTTTATGTTTCCAGAAGTCACTTGAGAATKTGTGTGCTTAATTTTCGGTAAATGATTGCATCCAAGGAGCAAGTTCACAGTTTAGCATGTTAAGTGGTAGAAATGGTAGTTTAGACTTAAAATCCTGAACAAATTACCATTTAAGATATCCAAACATTTGTCTGTGTCAAGTAAGACAAATTAAGATGCTTCTTCTTGTAGGAAAGTGGAAATGAGATTGAACATGAGGGAAAGCAAAAGATAAGGAAATAATCTAAGGAAGCAAAGGCAATCTAAAACCATAAAAGTTTTCCCAGTTTCCAAACACTAGACTCACTGAGCTTTATTTTATTTCCTTGTTTTCCCTGTGGGCGCTGTCTCCATGCCAGTACTGCAGATGCGGGCRGAACRGGTAAGCTTTGTGCTCCCGTGGCAAGGTGTAAGGTTTGACCAGCAGCCTGAGGTCCTTGAGCCGASGTGCATTAACCTGGCAGATTTGGCTTTGGGACCTTGATTAGTTACAGCTAAATTGAGTTTACCTRTCCATAAATATAAAATTGAAGCAATGCTTTTTACTTAAATTCAATTACCTAAAAAAGCACTCGATGTTCTGAGGTCCATTTTAYTTCGGACTGCCGTAGCGCYTTGTCAAAGATCTTGCATGTTTCTGTCTTCTCCATATGARGTAGGAAAATCACTCACCAGTTTCCCTTTGAGGACAACTACCTCTGCAAGTAATTTCATCATTATTAGTTAAAAGGAAAGAAAACCATAATTTTAAACTGAAATCCATTGAGCACTGTCTGCCTTCTTTCCACTGGAAAATTCTGCTGCTGCTTCCCACATGTATTTTAATTGATAGTGCTGCCTTTTTCAATGTATTATTTTGAAATAGCTTCAGTTCCTAATACAAAATCTTATATCAGGTCTTARACACTGAAAATAATTTCCTTAACCTTTAGGTGAAGAAATATCTTTGCAAAAAATGCCCAGAAATTTGAATTGAGGCCAGAAATGCAAAATAGGTGGCATCCTGGCAGATAGGAAGAGCATATATAAAAACACTTTATAACCCTGTTTTTGCTGGCTATCYGATGAAAATTCTCCTTCCTGGACGGTGCATAGAGTCATCTTTCATGGTCTGTTCTAAATCAGCACATTTCCTGTGAATTGCCCATAAACAGTTTGGAAGTTTTGAAATGGAGTAGCCAGGATGAGCTCATTGGAGCAGGTTACATAACCTGGCAAATCCCAGCGCTCCGCAGTCATTTACCATGTTTGTATCAACATCTGTCAAGGAAGTGTCTTAAAATAAATTCATAAATAAAGAAGCAGCACTAATTCGTCCTTCCAGCACCAATTTCTCTGTCCCCTGTTCTGCCCCAAGTGCAGTGGCTGTTCTCTCAGTCTGCTTTGGCCCTGTCCTTGGTAGGAGCCCTGGATGTCCCCGCCAGCAGCCAGCGCTGTTGTCGCTGCRGCGGAGCTCTGTGCACGCAGACGAGGGAGCTTGGCGAGGGACACTCTGGCCAYGCTGGCTTTGGYGTGCGCCTCTCTGGCGCTCATGACTCGCCTCGTTGCCTCCCGCTCGCCCGTGGGCTCCTCTTTGCCTCCCATCCTTGCACACTTATTATGGACTAATCTGCTTGGTCCTGGGCTGCCCTGAGGCTCTACAGACATCTTGCCTGTTCCTACTAGTGATAAATCATAGCAAGGAACAAGAGACTTGCCCCAGGCCGTCCTTTCCTTGAAAAAGCAAACCTGAAGATGGAGGACCAAGATATTGGTTCAATCTCAGCTTTGCCTGGGATAAATGAGAAATCTTAACACCCCTCACTGGGAACCTGTTTTTTGTGCTCCAGACCACGGGCTGGGCTTTAGTAGGGCTCTCGCCTGCTCGTGCTCCCTTCTGGAGGTGGAAGCCTCCACACTTCAGTGGTACTGGGTTTTCCCCGGAATGTGGATGGACTGAAAGTGGGAGCGATCCCTCAGGGTGGCTGTGCCGGTGCTGGCGCTGCCGTCCCGCAGCCTCCGTGCGTCCTTCTCTGCTCGCTCCCCTTTCCCAGGAGCAAACTTCCCGCAGACAGCTGCTGCGATGCCTGTGGTTTACAGAGAAATTGCTCAGGTGGGAGAATTCAATCTTTATCACTAATGGTGAAATATGTTGGGGTGGTTTTTTTTTTGTTGTATATGAAAATCATGCTGAAATCTCTTTTTGGCTTTCTTTTCTTCAAACAAAATTCTCACYAACTTGGCCATAGGCCCCAATATAAGTAATAAAAAGAAGCTTAAAATGAATGGTTCAATTTACTGTAAAGATCAAATTCAGTTTATTCCATATTGAATCCATTCTTCAGAAAAAATCAGAACAAAACCACTCTATGAGTTTTAGCAAAGATTGTGGTGTGGTGTTTTATATGTTCTGCCTCCACAGTGTTAAAATAACTATCCACCTCCTTAGATATCTGCTACTGTCCGATTTGGATGTGGTGTTTGTCCAGTTGTACATCTGTTTCTTATAAAAGGGAATGTCACCCTTGTTCCTGGAGCGGTGCCATCAGTTCCATTATTTTCTAAACAGTATTGTTCTCATGTACTGTCCATGTAAGGATGTGTTTGTGCTAGAAATCTAATATGAAGTATGAGGGGACATAAGGAGGAGAGCAAGACCTGATTTTCATCAATTATTTACATTGTATGCAAGTGGACACATACTGATTCATTATTTATTGAAAACTGAGTTGTATCGATCCTGTTAAGAAAAGAGACGAAACTTTCTGGAGGAGACTGTGAAAGAGATAATGAAACAATAGCTCTCCTTGGCCATGAAGTATTCAGGTACATTGATTTTTGTACCACCTTCTTGAGCACTGATTGTTCTGGACACAAAATCTCCCCGTTCAGTAAAGATATGAACTTTGCTGAATCAAAACCTATATCCAGAAATCTTCTCTCACATTATCTCTTCTCATGTAGTTCTCTGCAGCTCTGGCAGCCTGTGGCTGAGCATCATTTCTCACCTTGAGGTTAGAACCGGAGCCCTTTAACTTGGCTGCTTCAGTGGGAGCGGGTGCTCTCCGTGCTAAAGCTGGAGCCGGATCCCGGGGAAGGGC